AAAAAGAAAAAAGAAAGTAAGTAAAACCAAACAGGATTTCTAGACTGATTTGATATGGAGTATGCAAGAAAGAGTCAATGAGGACTTTAAGGCCCTGATTTGAACAACTGGAAAGCTGGAGTTGTATCTGATGAGAAACCAGGTGTGATGGTGTGCTCAGCACTCACAAAGCTAAGTACAAGACCAGCCTGAATCACATAGCAGGGCCTGTCTCAACAAACAGACTAACATCTGACCACATGAAAAAGGATGGTGGAAAAGCATAAGACAGCCCCAAGGAAACAGGGCATAAATTAGAAGATTGGTTTTGGATCTCTTAGATTAAAGGGGGCTCTCTGCTATCTGAGAAATCCTGTAGAGATCACTTAAAGCTCCACGTGGCCTTGGTGAGATGCAGATAGCTACTCTTTCTGGAAGAACGTACAGTCCTTGCACTGAGATCAGGCCTCTTATGATGTGAAGAAACTTGTTTTATCCAGGCATCTAAGGGGAGCAACTCTGCGGGTCTGCAGTAACCAGTTTAGTGTAGAAAGGACTGCATGACAATCAAAGTGTTAGATATAGAGTAGTATTTGCCTCTCATTGCTTCATTTTCCACACTATAATTATAATGGCGCCAATTCTGCCACTATACAAATTATTTCATTCCTGTTTTAACATCTTCCACATGTCCTAAATCTCTATTTCCATACTCGCAGAATGGCTATTCTTACATCCGCAGATTCTTCAGCTACAAGTATACTTTATGAATTTGCATGACATTGTATTTGGAATTTAGAGACAAATGTAGTAATAAAGACATTACTCATGACATATAACTAAGAAATTGGGGAGGGAGTGTCCTTTTCAAAGCAGTAGTCTAAATATACAGCAAACATTTTCTGTCCCTGCCAAGAACTACTCATCTGGAAAAATCATATGAAATCATCACCTTGGGGCTGGGGAAATAGCTTAGCAGTCTAAGCCCCTGCCCGGCAAGTACAAGGATGCAGGTTCAATCCCTGGTACCACATGTCGTGCTGGGCACCAAAACTGGGCATGGTGGTGTATGCCTGTAATCCCAGCACTGGAGAGGCTGAGACAGAAGGATCATTATGAGTTCAAGCTGTGTAGCAAGACCCTGTGCCAAATAAATAAATAATTTCTTTTAAAAAACCATCAGCCTTTGCCAGGGTTCACATGGCAACACTGATTAGGTAGCAAGGAGATTATGTTTATTTTTTTTTTTTAAGGAGGTTATGTTTAAATAAAATTGGGTGCTATTATCCATGCATTAGGTTAATATCCAGTGGGACAAGGGCCAATCACTTATTATTGGGCTTAAAAACCATGTGCACAGTATAAAGAAAGTAGATTCTGACACTGTCTATACTCAATCAATACACCATTATTAATTCCATAATTATTATTATCAAATCATTAAAACATACATGTCTTATTCACTGCTACTTCTTTGTTGTAGTAATAAAAAGTCCATAAGTATACTGAGATCCTGATATCAATTAAGTATACACATATTTGATTTTTAAAAAACCTGTAGCTAGAATTAAGTCGTTACAGACAACTGATCTAAAATTTTACCAAACTGAATCAAAACATTGTGTAATAACAACCATTCTGACAAACTTCCACAAGGGGGCAATAAGCTGACATTTGATTCTATTTTTGAGATTTTTTTTTTTTTTTCTTGAGATTTTTTTTTTTCCCATTGTTACAAAACTTCATGAGAGCCCAGTTAGTGATGAATGTAAATCAGTGACTATTTGTGGATGTGGAAAAAATGGCAGACTGAATAAAATGACTTATGTTATTAGATAATGGGACTGTATAGGTAGAAAATGGAGAAAAAAGATCAGTGATAGTGAGAGTCCAGCCATGAGACATGATTGTGTGTATGAAACTATTAGCAGAGATTGGTGTGAGGCTGGAGATCAACGTCAGAAAATGATGCCCTCGCACCGTTGAGATAGCTCAGCGGATTAAGCGCCTGCTTAAGCAAGTGCAGGGACTAAGGTTTGATTCCCAGTACCACATGCTGTGCCAGCCCTGCCCCTGGCATGCTGAGCTGGCCACTGAGACCTGGTATGGTGGTGCCAGGTAATTGCAGGGGACTGGGGAGGCTAAGAACAGGAGGATCACTGCAAGTCTGAGCTGCACAGTGAGACCTTGTATCAAAAACATTTAAAAAAAAAAAAAAAAAGGAAAAGAAAATGATGCCCTAAACACACAAGTGACTTTGTCTAAGACTGTGTGATTGAACATATATTTGAGCTTGTTTGCAAATAGCTGTAGTAGAGGTTGCACATCCAGAACTTTATGCAAAAATTAAACATGAGAATACGGCCAGTGGAGGGGTAAGGGGACTCTTTGTTATAATGCCAAACATACCAGTACCGAAATCTGCCTGTTAGTCCTTGAATTTAAAGAAATGTCCCTTACAAGTACTTTATAGAAAGGACATTATCTGATTTTTCCCTTTGATGACCTTCAACTAAATTCAGTATGTTAGAAAAGAATAAACCTCAAATTTTGTACAAAAGATGAGGCATGCATGACATAATGCATGTCGAAAATACCACAACTGAGACAACCTATATTATCTATGTTATAATGGGCTCCAATTCTGCCTCTATACAAATTATTTCTGAGGCAATTTTCATTCAGAAAGTAAACTCAAGATGAGAATAATAACCCCCCCAAAAAGTACAACAGTACATTTTTGTCTAGCCCGCTCATCATAATTTAAGAAATCTCCAATACGTTTGTGCACAATTTTAGCCATGTTCTGTTTATTTTTGTTTAGTTTTAAGCTAAAAGTGTTTCTAAAGGCAAAAGCCAAATATACTTTGTTAACATAATGGAGGCAGGATTTGGTGTTCTCCTCCTGATTCATCACTATAAAATTTCCTGAAAGTTACTGTTCCATCCTTCTTTACATGTGTATGCTTAGACTAGGAGCAAGCTATCCATTTTTTCTCTTGTCTCTCGTCTAAGTAAACTGGAACAAGAACTGAACACAATGACATGACATGGACATCGCTGTCATAAATATTGACAAGCTTGACTACCCTACTCCTAATGACAACTTTGCTCTTGTTGAAATCAGATATAACAACTTTACTGTTCAAAAGGATTTCAGGATTTCTTTCATGGAACAAGAAAACCAAGACACTCTGATATTAAGCAAAGATTCCACGTTTATATAAATTTCACTTTATTCCAAGAATGTACTTACAAATTTATTTCCAATGAGCAACAAAAAGTGGAGACTTTCTATGCCCCCAGCATCCCTTCTCTGGTCACTTAGCCTTATACTCTGTTTTCTGACTTTAACACTTCTACTGTCACAGCCTGGTCAGCTGCTCCACACAGGCAGACCAGATAGCTTCTCCAGTCTTTTTCTTTCTTTTTTTCCTGTCTGCATGTGATACTGGGAAATGAACACAGTAGACAAACTCTCTACCACCAACCTACATCGCCAGTCCTTTTATTTTATTTTGAGACAAGATCTGACCAAGTTGTCCAGGCTGGCCTCAAATTTGCAATCATCTTGGCTCATTCTCCACAAGAACGGGACTAGAAGCACGCACCACCTCACCCAGCTCTCCAGCCTTTCTCATAGATCTCTTTTCTAGGTCAAAGATCTGTCCATCTAATACCCCTCATTGGATGATTCCATCAAAGCCTGCCGAGGGCCCCACTTCCAGTTCTACTTCTTGAGTATCAACTCTCAACTTGCATTTTTCTGAGTTCTTTTTCCTCACAAGAAACCAAATATACCACGACATTCCACGACAGGAAGCTGGGCTGGGTTTGCCCTCCCCAGGAGAATGGAAGCTCTCAGGACTCCACCTTAGCTGCCTTAATACTGCCAGTGGCACAACAAGCACAGTAGGCGCTTATCCACGCAAAAGCCACACCTTTAACTTAGTAACAGAAAAGAAGTAGTTTGGAGTTTTCCAACAAAAATTAAGTGCTAGCTTGTTCTGTGCCAAAAAAGGAGACTAAACAAGAAGGGGATGAGTCTATTTAACCCAAACACCTCATCTACAGGACGCAGGAAGATTCAGTTCTGGGCTCAACACCAGCAAACACTGCTGGAGGTGAAGGTCATGAGAAAGGCAGCAAGGAGGGTTGAGCTCCACTCTCCTGAGACAACTGAGAACCGGGGGATTCTCACACAAAATGCTATGAGGTGCATGAGATTCTCACTGAAAAGGGCTGGAACACATGAGCTTCCTGTATCATTCGCTTCCTTTTGCCAAGGCTCCATTTACTGAAGTTTCTATCATTCTATAAAAAATCTAAAAGCCACCAACACTGAGAAGGAATAGAGATAAAATGGGGATGGAGGGGCTAAACATCCACAGAAACAGGAAGCAAAGTTTCCCGATCCACTTATCTGATTTGGACAAAACAGGAAAAATAATGTTCAAGTGTCTCTATAGAAAATCATATTATAATTCTAACAACAGATCAAATTTTAAAATCCATTGTTTCAAAAACAGAAAAAGAAAGACTCTGAACCAGCAATGACTTAATATTACTGCATGACTTAAAACAGCAGCTTCCGTCACAAGGTGTTAAAAACAAAGAAAATACATTATTGAAAGAATGAGAGGTACAAATGACTTTTTGAACACTTACTGAAGCCCATGGCACGTTGACAATGCAACAAATGAGGCCGGGTTTCCTCGGATCTGGCCCTGGTAGTAACAGTGTTCTCCTCCCTGTGAAGAGAAATAGCACACAAGCCTTCAGCGTCACAAGGAGAGCCAGCGCCATCCTTTCACACTCACGCTGCACCGCCAAACGCATGGCTTGGTGAAGCAGCTCGTCGCCCAGATCAGCGCTATCAGGCCATTTCTAACAGAATTATTCATGAACATTCCTAGGGAGGAGACTCCTAATCAAAAGACAGAGAAATAGAAGTTGACTTCATTTTCTGTGTGAGTAGGTGTTACCAGAAGAACAAAGCAACAGACACTGAAAAACACATCTGGCCCTTGTAGCCAGAGCAAGGTTAGACATTTATTTCCTTAGTTATAGGACATTCAACCTTGTGCGTCAGCAAAGCAACATTTTCTCGCGGAGTTAAGGACTATAGATCATTTAAGAATCACTAAATTATACAGATGGAAGAAAACACCTGTTTTTAAATTGTTTCTATCAAAATTTGACTATGAGATAGGCTAATGATTCCTTTCCCAAAGCAGTTCAAAATGCCCTCACTAGTTAAGTTGTCTGGGTTAAAACAATAAAGTTTTTCCTAGCAGCCAGTTACATGAACTAAATTCTCCTAAAAGAGCTTCTTATGAGTAATTCTTATCTTTAGCATGAATGTGCCTGGAAAGGAAACCACGGCAAATCCTCTGCCATCTTATATGTGGACCGTAAATACTTGCTCCCACACCAGCACTACCACTGGTGTCAGAAGCTTGTGAGAAATGTAGACTCTCTGGCCCTAGATCTGCCCCATCAAAATCTTCATTCCAAGGCTCCTCCCTCATGATTCATGCACACATTAAAGTTTGAGAAGCTCTGTTCTAAATGACCTTCTCCCATTCTCTTATTGATCTATTTCTTCAGCAGTTGAAGGTTTCTAATTAAATTGACTCATAAAGGTAGAAAAACATGCAACAGGAAGGACTGGATAGTTGAAGGGGCATATATGTATTTAATCTGTTTTTAGAAATAACTCGATTTAAAATATTTGATTGTTGACGAATAGAGAGGAGAAAACTGCAAGACGGAAAGATTACATTAAGGTGCTGCAGGATTGTAGAGATCTTTCTATTCCAAAATTTAAAGTAACTGCTGCTACTCCTGAGATGATTCTGTAGGAGTTGGCGAATCTCAGCTTTGAGAAGGAAGTGGACAGCAGGTATAATGGCACACAATTCCACCCCTGCAGATGTCCAGAGGAGTCACTGGGACTCATGAATTGAGGACTATGGTTGGATTTTATGGAGAACACAGAATATTATTCACATCCGATAAATCAGGGGATGGAACCCAGAACGTGCTAAGAGGCCGACACAAGTCTTGGGCACAAAGATGCAGCCACTGACTGACTTCCTGAGGAAAACTGGAGTTCCCCTCACCTACTGGTGCCATCATCCATAACTTAAGTAAGTTATAGAACTGCCTGTGTCAAGGTTTCCTCATCTGTCAAATGGTGATGATTATTTCATATGGTTTTTACAAGGATTAAGTGAGCTAAATTATTTACAAAAATGGTTGGCTCTTGGTAAGCACTTAATAAATGTTCTTTACCATTATAATCACTGTGGGTCAACTATTGTTCTACTCAATTTACATGCCACAACCACATTCAATACTCACATCAACCCTACAGTGAATATCAACGTCCATATTCCCCATGGAAAGCTACAATCTGAGAACCACAGTTGTACATCTGGGAAGTTACCACGGAGGTAAATTTTGGGTGTGCCCAACGCGTGTTATACTTTCTCTGCCTACAAGTGAGACCCAAAATCTATGGGCTATGCAATGCAAATCCAAGAAGTCTTCTGCTAAGTTGATTTATTTTATTGTTTACTCCTCTATTCTTTTACTAGAGCTAGAGATAAATTTCCAAAAGTTTAAATATCCTCTGTTGGGCTATTAGCCTGATGAACTGACCATAAGATTAGATTTTACATACATGAAAGGAAATCATAAGTAATGTGACTCTGATTTCCTGAACACATCTAACTGAACCAGAATTCCACTTTCTGAGGCTGTACTGGCCAGAGAAAAAGGTCCACAGTGATTGGACTGTTTTAAAAGTGTTTCTTAGTAAATAACTCTTTCTAGATTTTCATATTTCCTATTTATTATTTCTCTTTCTAGGGGCTATGTCATTTTAAAATGTTTGATTAATTACCTTTTTGTAATGTCTGGTAGTATGTATTTTCCTTTTCATTATCTTCTGACACGTTAAAACATGTCTTATTACTGAGCCATACTTGAGTCTTGAATCTAAATGAATTCAGTTTCTCCATATAACCATAATTAATAAAACTTTTATACTGTCATTTAGATATTTTTAAAGGTAATCTCAAGGGCTGGCAAGATAGCTCAGGGGACTAAGCACCTGCTAGGTAAGCGCAGGGCCTGGGGTTTGATTCCCAGCTCCACAGGTTGCACCAGCCCCACCTTTAGGAGTGCTGAGCTAGCCACTGAGACCAGGTGTGGTGGTGCACACCTGTAAGCCCAGCGATGGGGAGCCTGAGAAACAGGAGGATCACTGCAAGTCTGAGTTGCATAATGAGAGCCTGTACCAAGTACATTAAAAATAAATAAATAAATAAATAAATAAATAAATAAATAAAATAAAGGTGATCACAGATAACCAACTCATTGCACTGGCAATGGGAGTAGTAATATCAAATCACTTCTTTCAAGTCAGTAATATTAAACAGTTTTAATTTTTTTTAAGTGCTTCCCTAGATCAGACTCTTTAAGAGGTTTAAGACTTGTTATGGATAGTCACATACAAATGCAAGAAAACAGAAACAGAAACAAAGAAGAAATTGAAAAATCATGGTATCAAGTTACACAATGATGGAAGTCAGCAGTCTGTTACACGGGGCTAGTATGTGGCAAAGCCTACAAGAGTTTTATTAAACTACTAAAGTTTTCATTCAAGTACCAATTCTGGAAATATGTCATAGTATATCACAAAAAGGACAAAGAATTCATTGGATTAGATAATGGAAAACAATCTCCCATTGATTTTTTTGATGCAGAAAAATAAGACTCAATCCAAAAACAGCATATGATTAGGACCCATCTGCACAAAAGCCTAACACGGCAAATGCCAAGCTCAATATGGATGAATCATTATCGAATGTTTCCAAGACACTCCAGGAAAAGCATAAACACTAAGGAATATCTCCTCAATTTGGCTACTATAATTCAAAATTTGAAGCTCTCCACTGGTGATAAATGCAATTCTTCTAAATAATGGTAAAAATCCATTTTGTGTTTTATATTTTCAGACATTATTCACCATAAACCAATAGTTCAAATTAAGAACTAATGGTTTTCCTTTAACATGTCTGGAAATATTTGTAGTTGTGGATAGAGGTGTTAATATTAATGGGTTTCATTAACTTACATAGCTATTGTTACATTATTAAATTAAATTATTCAATAATTCTTATTCTTTAAATATTTATTCTTTATAATATAAAAGATTGAATACGGGATCTCTTTTGTTATAGAAATAAATCCATGGTCCTTGAAATTTTCTTTGCATTCCTTGATATTCTAACACATTCATAACGGTACAGATGTTTATTTTTGGCTAGTTTCAGTTCAAAGAAGATCCACCTCTATAAAATACTATGTAATAACTCAAGTGACTTCTGGTTTAGCCTCCCAGTGTGTGGGTGTGGGGCTGGGAGTGCTTACTGTAATTTTCATTTCAGATAAGTTAATCATTTTTTTTTACAATATTCAAGAACAGACCATACTTTCATTAGACAATGAGCAAGATCTTCAAAGAAGAAAATAATTTATTACAAATAAAATGAAACAATAACACAAAGGAAGATACAAAGTCTAGATTATAAAACAATAAAACCTAAGAAGAGAGGACCAACTGGAGAACAGAACTGGAAGATCATCTACCCTCCTTCCAGGTCCTCAGAGGAAACCTGATAACATTTTCAGCTCCAAGATGGGCCAGGGCACCTCCTCCCAAAGTCTTCTCAGAGTCCCTTCTGCTCACAGCGTAGATTACTTCCCTCCTCTGCATTCCCATTCTAAAATCTGTACTCTCTCCTCTTCTACCTACATTCTTGTTTCTATAAGTAGACTTTGTCTCCCTTGAGGAAAGTACCTATGCATGATCTGCTCCCATCCCCGGCTGCACTTCCTAAAGGAGACACTTGAATCTTATGTTCCTCATCAATAAAAGGAGCCTGACATCTACCTAAGCTGTCTCACCAGCAAATGTGGGGGCCGTATGGGACAACAAAATTAAATACAATGTACACTGCCATTACACAGAAGTCAGGCACAACTGGGCAATATTTCCTGCATCCCTTGAGTCTAAGGGCTTAGTGTTCTGTGAGCAATGATTCTCATGTTAAGACCAACAAGAGGGCACTGAGTTTTTAAAACTTTATTTTAGACAGTTCTGAGGTGAGATTCCAAAACTCATTTTTATAAATACCCCATGTTTCTCCTACTCCATGAATACATTAGGAAAATGTTTTCCCACCTTGGTACATTGCAGAAATCACCTGGGGAGCTTTTAGATTCCCAATGCTGAAGTCATACGTTACACCAATTCTCTCATGAGCTACAAGGATGATCCAGATGCAGGCTGCAAGGGTTGTAGTGCAATGCCCTACACCTGAGAAATACCACTCTGTGGCAAGGTTCCCCAAGCAGACTCTCAGAAGCACCAATGGTGGGCTCTGTAAATACCAGACTGCCTGGCCTTCCCACCTCCAAGAAGAGGATAGAACCCCTGATTTTCATAGTTGCAAAAAGGTGAAAAGTCCTATCAGGAATTACGTACCTAAAAACACTTCATATCAAACGACCCCCATGCACAGGATACTAGTAATACAGAACTTTCAGAGAATGAGAACACTGACCATTTCCTGGGCACTGCACTTGGTGATGTGTGTGACAGTCCATGGTGGTTACTTAGGTAAATATAATTTTCCTCTTTCTACAAGGGAGAAAACACAGAGAGTTCCCT